GCTCATGAGCCCTCAATATGTGTGTAGAATGCTCTACCCGACCCTTATCTCATATCTGGATTGCTCCAGGGTTTGTTGGCTACCGTACGGAGCAGTAAAACCTCAACAAACCCCTCACAATATGTCGACATATAACAGATACTAACATATACAGATAATCATACAGACAGTATCACAGGTAGTCCTACCGATCTACTAGACTAGCATATCAAAACTAGCATGCATATATATTCCATACTCAACATATAAATGAATATCAGGTTATTAAACCAATGGGTCGGCCTTGGTGCCTTCGACCCATAAGTTCAGTGAGGAAAACTCACCTCGCAAACTGAACACAATCTGATAAGGTCCTGACTCGGAATCTCAGCTCCTACTACCTCCTATTCCAACCAAATGACAAAACCAATTAGAATTTCCAAAATACACTCAAGGTCAAACTTGGTCAAAGTTAACTGGTCAAACCCACTACGTCAACCGAGTCAACCCAACTGAGTCAACCCTACCGAGTCAACCCAACCGAGCTGACCCAGTACGAGTACGCGGGGTGTACTCCAGAGGTACGTTGGGCGTACTCCAACCCTCGTAGTTGACCACGATCGCGGTGGTTGACCTCGTACGTGGGGCGTACTCCAAGTACATGGGGCGTACCCTCGCAAAAGTCTAAAACCTCATTAAGAGCTTAATAGCTTAAGTTGTTAGGTCCAAAGTTCAGATCCATTACCAAAACACACTCTAGAGTCATAAAGTTTCCAACTTTATGACTTTACATGCCTAATAAGAGTTTAACTAAACGTCTTAATCCATTAAGACCTTCTACAAGATGCATGGAGCAATTCTAACCAATGGGACTTAATTTTTAGGGCTAAGGACCCCTCTTAGGGTCTGAAAAGACAGCTCAAAACGTCCAGAACATGTCATGCTCAAGATGAGACTCTTGGGACCAAAAAGGGACACAAAAACACCCATAAACAAGATCTAGCAAACTAGCCATCAAGGTATGAACTTTATACCTTGAAATGATAGAGAATGGTGCAAAAATTCCATATCCAAGATGCTTCTTCCCTCCAAGATGAGCTTGGTTCCTTCCTTCTTCTTCTAAGCACAAAAACACACACTTTAATGCTTGAAATGGCTACACAAGGTGGTTCTAGGGTTATAATCAGGAAAGATAGGGTGGAGACTGTCAAGTTGAAGGGAAATAAGGCCATAAGGAAGCTAAAATGCCAGCCAAACCCTAAAAATTAGGGTTTCCTCATTTAGCAAGTACGCCCCGCGTACATAGATGTACTCCCAGCATACTAGGGCGTGCCCTAGTACGCTCAGCGTACACACTAGTATGCATGGCGTACTCCTCCCTGCCGAAATTACGAAAATACCACTAGGGCTCCAATGCACATTTCTTGGACTTAGGGACCAAAACGCAATATAATAAAACTGGAATGTTACTTTGAGTTTTTTTTTTAAATCGATGATGATGTTTATTAATAGATGACAAAAAATTTAGATTTTTGGTAAAATTAGTTTTTTGGATAAAAATAAACTTAAACATTGAAAAAAACAACAAAATGAAGTGAATTTTTTTCCCAAAAAAAATAATTTATTTTTTATATATCAACATGGATCTATATGGATAGAGGACGAAAAATCGTAAACAACGGTTTTGTTTTTTCGATATAAAACGTAGCTTAACAAAAATTTTAACGAAAAAAGATGTGAGTTTTTTTTTTGGTAAAGATGTGGGTTTTATGGTATAATTTGGTGTATGTACGTCCAATATACAAGTGTACATCCATTCCCTTGGCTGTTGATCGCTTTAAATTTCGACGCTCATGATTGGTTCATTAGTTCATTGTTAATAATGGTTCTCTATTGTGTGTGTGTCTATATATATAATATATATATATATATATATATATAATAATATATATATATTCACTATTTAGGGTATAATTAGGCACATTTTATTGGATTTCATAGTATCTTCTATTTTTCTAAGTTTTCTGTGTATATTCTTAACAATAAAATCGTACAAACCAAGAGAAATAAATAAACCCACAATACCATAAAAAACTCTACTAAATATAGGTAAGATAGACCTACAATATAATTTAGAAAAATAAAAGATACCATGAAATCCAATAAATCAAGTTAATGGAGGAGAACTAACTTGTAGAGAAGCAACAATCTCTCTATCTAATAAAAGGATCCTTTATGTCCTACATGGCAATTTCTCAACCGCCTTTCACACAAACTGAAATACAAAAAATGCCCCTCTTTTCGTTTAAAGTCACACATTAATATGAAAGTTTGACGTCGCCTACATTTTGGAAACTAGATATTAATTCAAAATGTAAAATTCTCAAATCTCTTATCAAATGGAAACCTTCGATTCCATCTCTGATAACTATTAATTAGCAAGATTTCTTCGGTTGATAAGGAGAAATCATAGTTTTTATATGATTACAATTTCACCTCTTCGAACAATAATGATTGCAACCGTTGGTTTAAATGATTTAGCCCTAAACTCGCCCCACGATGATTATTGTTGCCGGTTAATTCTCTGATTTTATTCTTTCGATTTTATTTTGATTTGTTTCTGTATTTTTCATTTTATAAATCTTCAATTTATCATCAGAGTTAATCTTATATTCTATCCATGGCGCACCATGTCCATCGCTTCCTCAAAATCAAAAGGTTATCCTCCTCCAAAGAAGAAATAAACTGATGGCCTTCATGTGTCGTGCCAATCAATCGATGGTGATGGTGAGTGGTGATGGTGATGATGTAAGTTTTTTTAAGTGCTTCTTCTTTGTATTACAAAAACTTGAACGGATCCCTGATTCTCAAACACGGGGTATGATTTTGATGGGTTTCTACAAATTGTGCAATGGAGTGTTTTGGAAATAGAAGATCGAGGTAAGGTTTAATTCCAATTCTTTGTATTAGTATTAAGACATAACTTATTTTCTTAATGGCAAATATTCAAATATCAAAAATTCTTTTTTTTTCACCAATTTAGGGTTCTTCTTGAAAGAATTAAAGAGCTAATGCTACATTAAAACTTTGAGATAATGCTCCAGCAGTTCTTTGTGGAGATTTTAACTCCACCCCTAATGTATGTGTCATTGAATTTGTTATCTGATTATAAACCTGCAGACAAAATGCTAAAGACATTGAAACTGATAACAAAGTGTAGAGTAAAGTTGACATTAATTTTTACATCAACCACACTAGTTTTGCATTCGCACACCAATATAATGCTAAAAGTGTGGCACTTATTATCTCAATATTCTTTTTAGCTTGATAGACATTCATCTATTTCACTACAATGAATTTGTGATAAGGTGGATTCTTAAACTACTATACCTTATTAAGAATACAACATTGTAATATAATGCTAATATTACACAGATAAATGAAAGTGAGATCGTAATTTTTTTTTTCTGTTTTGAGTTGCATCAGTATGAGGATTTGTGGTGATTTAGATTAGAAAGGTATTTCCGATTGATTTGACCTTAAAAAAGGATGCCCCATTCGTAAGACAGCTGGTATTAGATTATGATGATACTTGCCCAAGCTAGATTGACTAATTCGCCCATGTTTGTTGTTTATATTTTGCCATCATTCATTGATTTATAATTCATGTTGATAGGAAGACCAAAATGCGTCTAAGCAATTATTTGTGCAGGGAGCATATGATCTAGATAGGACTAAACAAGAGAATATATGTTGATATAGGAAAATTAAATGAAGTTATTAATGATTTTTCTTTTTAAAATTAAAAAGGTGGTTTATACATGAAAGGATGGTGTACCTTTACTTAAATGAGTTAGTGATGTGGTTTTAGATTGTTATTGTTTTTCTTTCAAGTAATTTGATTTTTTTAGATAAGTGTAATTTGAGGTTCAGGTTGGATTAAAGATTCCATTTTGCATAGTTATACATGTGTTAGAAAGAATGTATGGAGTGAGTGCAATCCACGTTAACCTTTTGTTTTTTTTCCTAATCCCTACTCATTTCTTCATAAAAACAAACAAAATATGCAATTCCAAATGTTGTTAGCTTTAAATGTGGTGTGCAGTTGTATGCTAATCCTTATTCATGCTTAAAAGAAACATCTTCATTGGTTGGCAATGGCAATAAAAAACAATCTAAAGGCAAAGCTTTGATACACTCATTTAATCTTGAGTCTAGGAATTGGATTGGGACAAGGGCAAAATTGGAAGTGTATATTCAAAAGAAGAAAAACAAGGGGGGGGGGGCAAGGAATATTTAGTAGCTTTGATCAAATTATGACAAACCCCAAGTCTCATAATTTGATCAGGCCATGAAGGTTGAAAAACGAAAATCACATAGCAGGGTAGGTCCATTGTTTTTCCTTAAAATTATACTTTATTTATAAGAGAATAATATTTATCCATGATCTTTCAGTTTAATCTTAACTCACCAACTTTTTACTCCATTATATGAGATCTAAAAGATAGCCAAAAATGCAAGGAAGTTATTAACCACAAATCACTAAAGGTTCAAAGGATCTTTATGAAAATAAATGTTGGTTTAATCCAAGGAAAAGATGCTTTTCAATTGATAAAATCCATTTTGTTTCTCCTCATTTAGTAAGACCAAATTCAAAAATATCATATTAGAAATTTTTATGTTACTCATTTTTTTATTTAATTTTTTTTTTAGTTTGCAGACCCATGTAGTACACGGGTTATTATAACAAAATATAATAAAATTTTATAAATCTTTTACGTGTGGTTTCCACGGGTTGTAACCTAGTGAACCATTATTTTGAGGATTGTGGTCTTAATGAAGTTCGTAGAACAAAACTTATAATACATTCATGTAGGAACATATTAAATATAGAAAGAGACAAATATTTGTTAATCTTCAACCATTTTTCCTCCTTGTGGAAGACAAACAAATGGTGTTGTGTTGTCTCATTGTATCTCTATACAACCATTGAACCAAACTTTTAGTTTAGATTTTATTTGTCCTTGTCCCCTACGTTTAATAAAGATTAACCAATGATTCTTTTTTTGTGAATCAACTGATCAAGAAGGTTTCACTTCCATCATCTTGTAAACTGGTGATGAAAAAGAAATATTGGGTTAGCAACTCATGTACTATTATATGGACATCCTTCTTTTCCCATAAAAAAATGTCCCTATTGAAGTAATTGAATAAAAACATTATTCAAACTTACTTGGTTTTTCCAGGCTTCCCTAAGTTGGGATGCAATGTCAGCAATTGTAGGTCGTTCTTCCCGATTCTTATGCAAGCATTTATATGCAATAGTTGAGAACTTGCTTAATGTTCTTTGTTTGATATCTTTCTTTATTCTTTGATCAATAATCTTATCTAGCTCTCCATTTTTGTAGCTGGTTCGAGCCAAATGATGTAAGAAACGCCGCTCATCATGGTAACTGGAAACATAGGCTAGCCTTCCACACAAAACTTCAAACAAAACCACACCCAACGAATAAACATCCGACTCATTTGTTAAAAAACCTGTTTTTTCATATTGTGGGTCAGTATAACCATACGTTCCAGCAGGGTTAGTGATCACGAAGGTATTATGTTGATGCGCTAAACCTATTCTGGCCAAACCAAAATCGGAAAGTTTTGCATTCCAATTCTCATCCAACAAAATATTCGCACTTTTTACATCGCGATGTATAATTCTGTGTTTTTCAGCCACATGGTTATGAAGATAGTCCAATGCAGAAACAACACCAATACATATTTTGAGGAGTTGTGGCCATGATAGTCCACCGAACATGCTAGTGTCACATAAATATGCATCAAGGCTTCCATTCGTTGCGTATTCGTAAACAAGAATCATCTCCTTGTTATCGTTACAAAAACCTATAAGTGTTATAATGTTTTTGTGTTGATACTCAGAAAGCAACGTGACCTCTGTTTGGAACTCTTTGTTACCTTGAAATCTGGTGACATCTAGCCGCTTTACAGCTACTAGTTGGTTTATATGATCTGCCCATGTAAGGGTTCCCTTATAAACCCTTCCGTAACCACCCTTACCGATGAAATTCCTTTCGTTGAAGTCGTGGGTACACGTTTTTATGACATGGAGGGGTATTTTGAGGTTATTTGGTTGCTCAATTGGAACATCATCATCAGGGATAATTACCTAATAATCACATTTTAAGTTAATATTAATGAAAACATCCCAATTTTACTTTTTTTGTTGAGAAATGGCCAAATCTTCAAGAAATTTTTTTTTTGAAAGAAAAAAAGTACATTTTAGACCAAAATTTCGGATTCCATTATGCATTCCAAACAAAAAGAATTCTGGAATTTTAAGAACAAGTCCAATAATCAATTAACAATTTCAAAGTTTGGTATTCCACCACCAACCGAGTCCCGGGGACGGAGACAGGATACCCGTATGGGCAAAAATCAGGGATGGGGGACGTGTTGGGGAACCCAGTTCAGCCCATGTCTCATTTTTGTTTATGAAAATATAACTTTAAACTCATTGATTAAAAAAAATAGAGTTAAGTGAAAAATGTTTATCGGGGGTTTGCTTTTTGATGACTCTCCCGAAATGTTTGTGGAAATTTCAGAGTGAAAGCAAGGGTATTAATAAGATAACTCACCTGATTGGTAAGGGGCATAACATCCGCCTCGTTGAGCTTGGGTTGGTTAGCAGTGAGTCCAAGCCGTATCTTTGGGATAATATTGTTCCATAAAATAATGTTATTCCATCTCTGTTTCATTGTTTTAACATCATGCTTTGCCTGCACTTCCCTTAAATTCCTGTACAAAAGCATCCGTAAAAAAATATGTATAAGTGATAATGATTCTTGAAACAATAGTAAAAACACACACATTCCTATTCTAATAAAAGATTTTTTTTTTTTTTTTGCCACCTAGCGTTTCCTCCTTCACTCTATAATCAAAAATTAAATTACTTTTATACATTAGGATTATATTTTTTAGGGAAAATTTCATTTATATTCTTTTAAATTTTAAATATTATTTCTATATCCTTGTAAAAATCAAAATTACTTCTATATCCTTATCAAATTATAAAATTTATATTTATATCCAAACTTAAATTTTAATTTGAATTATATCAATTTAATATTAAAAAACTTATTTAAACTTTAAAATTTTATTGAATTTCCCAGAATACCCTTCCCAAGCTAAATCCCAAATTAAAGATTAGGCTAGGTATCTTGTATTTCCGTATATCATCTTCGTCGTACACTAAACATCTCTACATTCACTCTCATTTGTAAATTCGGTTTGTAGCTCTATGCATGTGGTGTCTGTTGATCTTATATGTGTTTTTTTGAGCATGAAATTAGGAATTGATCTGGGGTTTTTGTTATTTGGGACCGAGTAATATGCGTAAGTCGTAAGATCTCTAGATTTGCAAATTCCTATTGAGTTGGTGCCCAGAAACTCTGAAATTCGACTGTGACGATTTGGAATTGAGCATTCAACACATATAGAGATAATGAGGGGGGGTCCAATGTTCAAGTCGGGAGATGAAGGAGCGATCAGAACAAAATCAAAGATGTAGGGTATTTTTGTGGCTTGATAATGAGGGGGTCCAATGTATTCAACGATTGGGAGATACTAGCATCTGTGGTATTTTCGATGCAAGGTTAAATTTTGGGATGTTTTTTCCGTCATGGTGGTATAGTTTATTCCGATTGCTGCTCTTCGAGAATTCAATATCATTTCTTTCATAAGTTTGACAGTTGGATGTTATTTTAAGGATTGCTCTCAAAGTCTGATGCTCTAATTGCTTGTTGTTTGAACTGGTTCTGATGCTGGTTAATGGAGGAGATGTGTTGTTGCTGCTTAAGTAAATCATGGCAGTTTTCAAGTATGTTGTAGGTTTATTTTGAGGTTCAGATTATATTATGGAGGAGATGTGCTGGTATGATATAAAGAATTGATACGCCGTACATGCGTACCTGCGATATGGAGTAAACGCCGGCAGCAAGTAAATGACATGCAGGAACCTTTATAATATTTAATTAGGTTTAATGTTAACTAATTTGGTTTAATGCTAATCTTAAATAGGAAACGGTATTTTAGTACAATAGTATGGAATTTGATTTATTGATAACTTTTTTATATTAAATTAATTTAAACCTAATAAAATTATGAGTTTGGATATGGATGTGTATTTTATAATTGGGAAAATGACTTAAAAGACCATCGAAGTTTCAAATTTTGTTTAAGAAAAACCATTTAAGTATTACATGTTCAAAAAATACCATCAAATTAAAACATATGTTCAGAAAACATCAACGAACTACATATTCTGTTCAAAAAACATCATTTCTATGGTTTGGGGTAACTTACATGTTTAGCCCCTAACTTTTTTTCTAACTCAGACGGTCCCTAGCGTTTGTATTTATTTCACCTTTGGACAATAATCGAGTTAAAAGACTAATATACCCTTATTAGTTTCATTTAACATTTATTTTTATTACTTGTTAATTATTTGTACAATTGATATATTTATAATAAATAATAACATAAATTGTATAAATAATTAAATAAATATAAAAATAATGTTAATGAAAGTAATAAGGGTATATTAGTCTTTTTAACTCGATCAGGGTCTGTGGTCGAAGCAAATTTAAACTAAAGGGACCGTCTGAGTTAAGAAAAAAAGTTAGGGACTAAATATGTAAGCTACCCCCAAAACATTGAGATGGTGTTTTTTGAACAGAACATGTACTTCGTTGGTGTTTTTTGAACATATGTATTAGTTTGATGGTATTTTTTGAACATGTAATACTTGAATGGTTTTTCTTGAACAAATTTGAAACTTTGATGGTCTTTTAAGTCATTTTCCTTTTATAATTTTATAAGGATATAACTTATAAGAGTAATTTTGATTTTTACAAGGATATAAAACTAATATTTAAAGTTTACAAGGATATAGAAGTAATATTTTGTGCATATTTTTGGTTCCTTCTCTCTGTGATGATCACCATCTCTCTCTCTCTTAATTTCGTAATTTTTTTTCGAAAATCTAAATGATAGTTCCCAATGCAGCTTTAGGAAACCCCCGACATGATTTTCTTCTTCAGTTTATTCCTCTCCACTCCCAACTGAAAAAAAAATTTCCAATTAAATGTAATAGTATGTCTTATGAGATTTTTTGAACGTTGCTTTTTTAAAGTAAATCCTCATAGATTTATCTTTGAAAGAAGAAGTAATGGATATGATTGTTTTTAATAGACCTATTCTTGAATGGTGGAATTTAAAATTTATGTTCCTTTAACGTAAATTGGAGCAATCACGACATAAAATTTCCTTTTTGCCATTGAAGAGTTCAATGGTCATTGAACTCCAAATCCATTGAATGTCAAGGTGGCATTTCACAATGGTGTAGTTGTATCCATTGAATGACAAGTAGGCATGACACCTCATTCAACTCTTCCATTAAACTCCCCATTGTGAATGTTTTAAATATGGATTTAGAGATCATATTAATGATACATCCATGCCAACTTTGAATGAACTCTTTATAGTATGTTCTTTTTCCCTTTAATTGACTGTATGGAAGTAAATTCTTTCTGTTTATTATAGTTACGTTTCTCGTAGTTAATTATCAATTAATTTGTGTTAGTTTTGTGTTGTAGAGTGGTAAAGTTTTTTTTTATTTTATTTTAAATGTTTTACTAAAATAACCATTTTATTACCAAACGAACCATTTATGTCATGTTTTTTTGCTAAAATCTACCACGTGGACAATTTATGTAACATTTTACGTAAGGATTCTTTTTTTCATGATTTACAGAATGATAGCATATTATAAACCAAACTACCTCAACAATAATAAAGCTTTTTTTTCACTAAAATAACAATTTTATTACCAAAAAAGGCCTGTCATGTTCATTTACTAAAATCTTGCCACAGGGACCATTTACTTAAATTTTATGTAAGGATTCTTTGTTCATGATTTTCATGACACATTGCATGCAATTTTTCTATTAAT